CCCTTGGAACTTGGGAAGGAGAGTAAATATGAGCAGTAGGGTGGGAATAAACAGGAGTTGGATGTTCGGGCGGTAATTTTACACGTATAGGTATCTGGTGAGGAGGCATTTGCTGACGTGGAGATTTTGAATGAATGTGGGAGATTTGAGTCTTGGATTGGGAGGTCTGGATCTTAGGTTTGGAAGCCTGAGTCTTAGTTTTGGAAATCTGAGGCGTCTGACGTCGCGGCTGTTGATTCTTCACCGTAGTGTCTGAATATAGGTGCCTAGAGTCTTGATGGGGATGATCTGTTGATGTAGAAGGGTTGTGCGTCAATTGTGGTATTATTTCGTTCGGCAGTTGAGGAAACGCTGCCAAATTTAGGAGTTCAGGTGCCTGTACCTGTGCCTGGGTAGAATTCTTCTGTTCTTCTTTTAATGATAAATTATAAGTTCTTTGCTTATATAGCTTCTTATAGATAATGCAGCCCCGATAGGTTGCAGGGTGGTCCTCACCACAAAGGGCACATTTTGGTGGTTCATTTAACGGTTTCTGGCAGGTGTTAGAGGCGTGAGGCCCGGCGCATTTAACGCAACGCACCGAGTGATGGCAGTAAGCCTTTGTATGCCCTAAGTTTTGGCACTTGGTGCATTGAACGACTATTGGTTTCTGCCTCGGCTCTTCAAATTTTACAACAGAATACAGCAGTCTTTTAACTTCGAAGATTTCTGCATTATTCCGGGCTGGTTCTAGATCGATGAAAAATAATGGCAGTGGATATTTATCAATAGGATGTAAAATAGAAGATATATGTCTTACCGAATGGCCGATATCTTCCAGATCTTTTTTTATAGCGGTAGTGGGTGTGGTAGAGTGAAGACCTCTCAAAACCACTCTATATGTTTTGTCTTCTTTTAGTTGATAGCAGTGGAAGTCGTGATTGAGTGCTGTCAAATGATTTATAAGTTTTTTATAATCATCTTTAGTATTGGTGTTAATCTTTATATCGTTGACTCGAGAAAAACACCGGAAGTTGGTCGGTCCGATCAGATTAGCTATTTCTTGACCGAACTGAATGAAATTGTCAATCTTGCTTACATAAATCGGAGGTGGCACTGGTTCAGTGAAAGTTCTAGGTTCAGTGATTTCGTTAATTTTATTATTGGCTGTAACAGAATTGTTACTGGATGTGTTAGTTGATGGTTTAGTGTCAGGTTTCATAGCTGAATTATTACTAGTTTTTGATTGTTTATTTACTTTGAGAGCTTGCTTTGTTTTAGCGGATTTGTTTTTTTTTTTATTAGGTGAGTTGCCCGCCGAACCGGGGGCAGAGTTTCTATGGCGCTTTTGGAGAGTTCGCCTTGTTAAATATTGAGAATCAGTCTCACTGATTTCGGAGAAAGGAGTCTCTTCATCTGATTCGTCAAAAGAAATGTTCTTATCAGAATCCATACCTCTAAATAATAATATATACAAAAAGAAGAGAGAAAAAAAAAAAAGTATCACTAATAAGAAAATTTACAAAACAAATACTTAATAACTAATCTATTTACAAATATATATACAAATATTAAAAAAAACATTTTTATAAATAAATAAAATAGAGTCTCAGTAGAAAAAAAAATATTAAAATAAAATAATCAATTAAGAAATAAAAACAGAGAAAAAAAAATATATATACTGTCTTAGGTACGAACTCAAGATATTCTGAACGTAAAATAAAGCGCCGTGACCTTGAATTTGAAAGATAAGACCCGCTGAGGGGAATTATCTGCCACGTAAACTGTCTCTAGTAATCGAGTACCAATTTAATGTTGCTAATTGTTAATAAAAGTCACTCACCTCACTGATTGTAATGTAAAAATGTTAAATTGTTTATAAACTCACTGTTTACAAAGTCTGAGAACAGGATTTGAGATAATAAGCACATAACAAACTAGCAAAGACGGAACGATACGAATATAGAACCTCAGTTTCGGCCATGACACTCAAACATTAAACATAAAAAAGAAAGCTTAGAATTAAATTTACAAATCTATGGCTGTTTTATTATTAAAATAATTAATTATTGTTATTTAATGAAACTGCAAGTAATCCAAATGTTAAATTAATTGTTTTAAAATTATATTACACAAGGCCATAATTTATATTTATATAAATTTAAAGTTATACTATTTAATACAAAAAAAAATAAAGGGAATGGTGAAACTGGTATTGAACCAGGTAATTCACTATTAAAGACTAAGACGCTAGCCATTACACTATTAAGTGCTCTGAAGAACTGCATGAAGTAGTATATAAGACAGAGTTCAGCCTCATGGTGAGGTGTTTAATTGATAAAATAATGTTTTTATTTCCTGATAATAACACCTGAGACCCGTGGGGCCATTAATGTTTTATAGGGGCACCGCTCACCTTAAAACTGTTTATGCATTAAAAATAAAATGTAACCTCCAGCCAGTCGATCACATTAAACGTCAATGTTGCAACTGACAGGGGTCCTGGTGCAGGAGAATATTGTCTCAGATGTGGGAAGTCACCGCCACAGCCTGGTAAGACGAAACCATGAAGAAGTTTGCCAGGAAGAATTGTGACGGGACGAAGAACCTCATGAAGGCAACCCTTAACTTAGTGCTTCCAGCAGTCATACTGAGCTTGCAATGTTTTCTTTCTGCCTTCGGTATTAAGTGATGCGACGAGAGGTGGGCTGATCCGGAAGTGGTCGAACATCTCGTAGTGGAACTGGGACATCTCGTAGAGTATGAAATATTTAAGGGCTTCTACATATAATATTTAATGTAATTATGCATATAAATAAAAGGCCTACATATAAATAAAGAGATTTTCCATATAATGATATGGAAACACAAACATAAATAAAATACATAATATATGTTATTCATAATCAAAATAAAATTTACTGTCCTATATTGATATGATCACAAATAAATAAAAACAACCATATCAATCAATATCAATATCAATCAATATCAATGGCGTCAACAATATCAATCAATTAAATATTATTGTTTTTGTCCTTGGTCAAATCTTTAACAATATATTGAGCTTGTGGACCTTATAATTGTATTCCTCACATATTTTTATGGCTGTCAAGCTAGTTTCAAGAAAATATTTTATTTTTATACAGAAAAAGCAGTTTAAAGAGGGAAATTCTATCTGAGAGAGTCAAATGTCCTAAATTTCGTTTTAGGTCTGTCCTTTGTGACATTAATTGATTCCTTTTTAAATTATTTGTATTTTTATGCAGTTTGATTTTAGAGTAATCACACAACAAACATTCAGCTCAAGTTTGTTATGGAAATGGTATCCAACAAAATTTTCAATTTGAGGAATATGGATGAGTAATGAAATGAGGAACCTTAGAGCACCCTATAAAAAGGCTGTTGATTGAATCCAAAATACTGATTGGTGAGTTAAACAAAGATCAGAAACAAAGTATTAGAGGTAACTGACAAAAATTTATTTCTCAAAATATCAAACTATTTTTTTATTTTTTTTATTTGCAGCAACATTCTGAAACAGTGTAAAGATTTGATGTCTTACAAAATATTTTTTGAAACAAAGAAAGGGAAGTTTAAAATAATTTTAAATTAAATAACATTTAAAAAGGGAGATGTATCTAAAGAAATTAGAGCTGGAATATAAATGTAATCTAATTTAATTTTAACTATATGATATCATTATGGGGCTGCAATTCTGAAATATTAACATTATATATCCAATTAAGATTTAAAAATTGTAATAAATAAAATAAAAATACCTAAACATTGTTGTATATATCTTTTTTTCATTTAACATTGAATAAAAATTTCATTATATGCAAATTAATAAAACAATATATTATTTTTATATAATAATTTTTTATTAGCTATAAAACAAATAGTTTATTTGCTATAATCCATGTCAAGTTGATGTTTTGGTTAATTATTCCCATTTTCAAAACTTTATTTCCATCTTTCATAGCAATTAATGGCTAAAACCTTGTGTGCCCCTTTGTCATAATTTTAAGTTTTTGTTTTATATATAAATTATTGCCAACAACAAAGAAAATTAAACACCTTACGAACAAAAAAGAAAAGAAGAAGAATAAAAAGCTTTTATTAATGGTAGTTATTCGAATTTACTTATAGGTTATAAATAATCAGGACTTAAAGTCATTTTTTATAATATTCATTGTTAAGGGAACATAGCAAATTTCCGATTTGATTTGATTGAGATCAAACAATGCTGCTGCCATCTATGTACATACTGAAGACAACTCTCAGATGTTATGCACATTCCGTCATTGGTGAAGCATTGATGCTCATGCAGAATTGAGTTCACTTGGCTGACCAGGAATAACATTAAAAACTTTCCTGTTTTTTTTTTTGTAAGCATGGAGTAGTAAACCCTAGTAGCAAGAAGGCCTTAAGAGGAAGAGGGAAGAGACAATGAAGATTGAAACACAGAAGAAAGCAATAACAGCAAGTATGAATCCGCAACCCACTTAAATTTCAATATTGTATCAAATCCCAAATTAGAATAAAGCAATCAATTTTACTTTACAGTTTACTTATAGTCCACCAACCTCTTTAATTTTACAGTCCATAGATATAAAATATGTACCAGCTATTAAAACATCATTATTATGTCAATATAATCCCGGACAGTTAAAGAAGGGATTGGTATAATAAATAAAACATTCATTATCTAGGTTTCAACTCAATTGGATGGGCCATCTTCAGGTGATATCTTCTCTTCAATTATTCACTACAGTCAACCATCAATCCACAATTGTAAAACCTCAAAAATTGTTACATTATTTTTTAAAATTAACAATAAAGTATATAAATTCTGTAGTTTACCCTACTTCAAACATATAGTTAAAAAAATAAATACCATTCATGTACAGCAAATCACTTTCGTAGATGGTGGAGGATTGAGAGCTAACTACATCCCAATTATTATATATATTGTTTCACAGTTAAGCATATCATTATATAAAACAAAAATAAATCACCTTATTTCTTCACGTACACCTCGATGTGAAAGGAATGTTTTCATACTGTTCCATGATGTATCTTGGATACCCATTAATCTGAGAACTGCTTCTAAAATATCCCTAATAACAGAAGTTGGAGCTCTCAAAGAACGTATTTCAGTTATCGCTTCTGGTTTTATATTTCCTACAGCTGCCCTTGCTTCTTGTAGAAGAGGTTCTATATCAGCTAACTCTGTGTCAATTTCTTGTTTCCTATAATTAACAAATCAGTTCCAGTTACTATTGAAATAATGCTTGCACTAGATAAAACTGAATTGATATTGGCCAAGATCCCTTTCATTATACTTTTTTAATTCTAATTTAAAACAAGACATTAATTTGGTATGTAATGGCACAGGGGTGCCAAGAAAGGGGTTTTATGGCGCAAGTTGCGCCATCAAAATTAATGAGGGGGGGCACTTTTTGATGGGGTTTTCAATTTTTGAGAGGGACAGAATCCGACTGGGTTATGAATTTTCAAAATGAAAAGTTTCAAATCAAAAGACAAGTGGAATCATGGAACAGACCACAGGATGTGTAATGGTATATAATCTACAAATATTCATATTCTACTTTCGTTTGCACTGTTTTTAAAAAGAAGAGAGGAATAAAATATCATAGAAGGGGTGGGGGAAGGTTTATGCACCATCGACCTTGGGGAGGATGGGCACCCCTGTAATGGCATGCCATCATAAGAAGAGTGAACATAGCTATTTTATGTTTGTTATAAACAGCTTACAGGCCATTCAAATTAGCACAAAAAAGGGTCTTCCTTGCAAATGGTAATTGTTAGGTGTGTGATCAATACGAAAAATCCAAGTTTTTGGACATTGAAAGACTTCTAAAAACCATCAAAATTTCAGACTTTTTTTTTTGGTTTAAGCTAAATATCTTTAAAAAAATTATTACATTTAATTTTGAACAGTTTGAAAATCTGGAATATTTTTTTTAAACCCAACAGGAAACAAACAATCGACTTTTCAAAATGGATAAATTTTGGAAAATTTGCAAAAACAATGAATAATTTTTTTATTTTTTGCTAATTATCTGCTTTCTTATGTGATGTACCTCAAACATGCTCATATTAAATATTAAAGTACTCAAAATTTATTATAATTTTTATACAAAACATACTTTTTTAAACTTAATTATAAGTGAGTTAGGAAAAAATATAAATATTTTTTATAACTTCAGAAAAAATACATGTAGGGATATATATATATATATATATATATATATATATATATATATATATATATATGTTTACAATTTCACATTCACTGTGGTAAAAAAAATGTAGTTGTAGAAGAACTTGAGTAAAGCTTAAACTCAAACTTTTAGCAAACATAACAGTAAATTTACTGTCAATAAGAGTATGGGGGTTGGAAATATGTACTGAAGAAATATTAATGTCAATTTCAGATCATACTTGCTTACATATTTTTCAAAACACTAACTGCTTAATTAATTCCATACTTTTTCTCATTTTAATTATGTAATTTAATATTCTGTTATCCCAAAGTGCTTCCCACTCCCACTTTATATCGGTTTCCACCTCTTCTTTACCCTCCCCTTCTGGCTTTTCTCTAGAGGTATCTCTTAACGACAATAATTTTTATTTTTCCGACATTTCTCCCACAGACCATATTACCATTATAATGAAACCCCGTTCCGATTCCATAGGCCCAGATGGCATTCCTATAAAACTAATAAAATTATGTCTCCCTGAAATCCTCCCAGCTCTCCTTTTCATATAGAATTTCTCTCTGCAGAATTCAATATTCTCGACCTCTTGGAAAAAATCCATTGTCCTTCCTTTAAACAAAAAACCTAATTCATCCTCTCCCGAAGATTTCCGCCCAATATCAATTCTTTCCAATCTTTCAAAACCCCTAGAAAGGTAAGTGCAATCCCAAGTTTCCAACTTCTTTGAAAAATCCAACCAACTCGATCCTCTCCATTCTGGCTTCCGTCCTGTCTACTATACACAATCTGCTCTGATTAAAATAACCAGTGATATTCAGACTGCAATAGATGATAAAAAAACTAACTATACTTATACTTCTTGATTTCTCCAAAGCCTTCGATTCCATTATTTATTCCATCCAATAGTTCCATCTCTTAGTTCCAGTATTTCCTCTCACAACGAAACCAAGCTTCCATACCCAATCAACCACTATCTGCCTACCTTCCTTTATCTTCTGGAGTTGAACAGGGTTCTAGCATGTCTCCTCATCTTTTCAGCTCTTATATTAATGACCTAAATGATTCAATCATCCATTGTTCCCACCACCTTTATGCTGATGATTCTCAAATCTATATTTATCCTTTTCTCACGCTGAGTTATTGGTGGCATTTGCCAAAATTCAAGAAGATTTAGATCGAATTAGTGCCTGGGCCAACTTAAATGGATTAAGGCTAAATGCTGCCAAAACTCAGGCCATTCTCATTGGTTCCAAGCCCCTTCTTAGATCCCATACCAACTTTGCCTCACTCTATCTAAACAACCACCCCATTCACCTTCTACCTCTTTGTTAAAAATTTAGGCTTTTTCATAGATCAAACCCTTTCCTGGAATCAACATATCTCTCATATCTCCCGTCGTGCAATTTCTACCCTCAAACTATTCCATCACTTCCGCCATCTTCTACCCCAAAATACTCGTAGACTCCTAGTTTCCTTTCTCATCTTTCCCCACTTTGACTATAGTTGTGTGGTGTGCGATGGCCTCTCGGTGGAACTCCGTGATAGACTAAAAAGACTTATGAATAGCTTCGTAAGATTTGCAATTGGGACCCCGAGACGCTCCCGTGTCTCCCACCACTACACTGAGTTAGGGTGGCTCTTTCCCTCCTTAAGAAGACAATATTTCCTAGGCACATTCCTTTATCAAATCATTACCGATCATTGTCCTTCTTATGCCTACAACCTTTTCCAATTTAAGTTCTCAATCCATTCCCTCACTACAAGATCTCGACCCTCTGACCTATACATCCCTTCTCATAGATCTGCCTCATTCCAAAACTCCTTTATAGCCCGCTCTGTCAACTTTTGGAATTCCCTCCCGATCGAAATTCGTCATGCTCCCTCCCTACACACATTCAAAAACCTCCTATTCCAATTCCTGTTCCAAAAACAGTCAGATACCAGCTAACTATTAATACTATATACGTATTGTGTAGCAATCAAGTATGATAATACTTGGTAAGAGATTGCTTACTTACTTACTATGTAGCTCTACAGCCCAGGGTGGGCCTTGGCTTCCTGAATTATAGCATGCCAATCATCCCTATTGCTCGCTCTTTCCTTCCAATTTCTCACACCCAGTGTTCTAAGGTCGCTCTCAACATCTTGTAGCCATCTTTTTCTTGGTCTTCCCCTTCTTTTTGTGCCATACATTGTGGAGAACAATGCCCTATAAGGCATCCTGCTGTGGTCCATTCTAACCAGGTGGCCTAACCATTCCATACGCCTAATTTTAACGAAATTAACTATGTTGGGGCTGTTATATAATTCATATAACTCCGCATTTTTTCTATATCTCCATACACCCTCTTCACAGACAGCTCCATAAATTTTTCTCAATATTTTTCTTTCAAAAATATTCATCATACTAATTGTGCTAGTACAAAGGGTCCATGTCTCCGCTGCATAAGTCACAATAGGTCTTACTAAAGTCTTATCTTTGTTTCTCGTGACAGGAGCGATGATCGAAAAAATTTTAGGTTGGCATAGTACGCCCGGTTTCCAGCCATGATCCTCTTGTACACCTCAGCAGCAATTTTATTTTCTGAATTCACTTCCACCCCCAGATTTGTGAATTTTTTGACACATTCGAAGGTAAGACCACATATTTCAATACTCTGTGGACCAGTCACATTGTCGGCTCCGACATACATAGATTTTGTCTTATCTTGATTGATTTCCAGCCCAACATTTTCACCTACGGCTTTCAATATTGCAAAGATTTCTTTTATTAATCTTAAATTCCTGGTAATTATGCATATATCGTCTGCGTAAGCACATATTTGCATTATTGTGTTAAGTATGCAACCAGGTGAATCCAGTTTTTTCAACACATTATTAAGTGCAATATTAAATAATGTGGCAGACAAAGCATCCCTCCCTTGCCTAACCCCATCCGTCATTGGAAAGCTATTGCTTACATTACCTTTAATAACTACTTTTGCATTGCTATTATTCATAGTCATTTGCAATAACCTTATTAATTTTTTTGGAATTTGGTACTCATGTAAGGCATTTATTAATTTGCTTCTCATCACTCTATCGAAAGCTTGCCGGTAATCTATGAACAGCATATGTAGGTCAATCTTATATTCCCAGGCTTTTTGCATTATCTGTCTCATCACAAAGACCTGATCAGTTGTTCCTCTCCCCTTCCGAAATTCACACTGGTTTTCCTCCAGTTTGTTCTCGGCAAATACGTTGAGCCTCACAGAGAGGATGTTGGAAAAAATTTTATAGGCTACAGCCAATAGAGAAATGCCCCTGTAATTCTCACATTGGAGTTTATCTCCTTTTTTATATATCGGGCATATCAGACTGGTGCACCACTCCTGAGGCATGATTTCACCTCTCCAAACTTCCTCCAACAGTAAATACATTTGGCTTATCAATTGTTCTCCTCCGTACTTAAAGAATTCCGTGACCAGCATATCCTCCCCAGGTGCTTTGTTATTTTTTAATTTTTCAATTGCCTCAGCCACCTCTTCTATAGACAATGGCTCCAGGTCATCAACACACCCCTCCTCATCACTACCAACCATACATTAACCACCACCAGAGTTGAGCAATTCTGTGTATTGCTCTTCACATCTACCTAGAACTCGGGAGCTCTCCACTACCATGCCATTTTTATCTTTGTCTCCGGTCATTTTTGACTGAAAACCGCTCTATAAAACTCTATAAAACTGCTCCATAAAATTTCCTAGTCTCATTTGTTGTCCTCAATTCCTCAATCTGCTCTATTTTCCTTTTCATAAAATCCTGTTTCTTATTTCGAATAACCTTCTTTGCTTTTTTCCGACTTTCTCTATATTCCGTAGAGGTTTGTCTTGTAGAGCGCTGCAGCATCACCGTCCTACATTGATTTCTTTCACGCAGGACCTCAAGACATTCAGTATCAAACCACTCCTCACTCCTTTGCCTACTCCTCTCACCTATCTCCCTCCTCTGCTGACTTTTCAATAGCTCCTCTAATTCTCTTCCATTTTTTGTCTACACATTCTTCCTCCTCATCGTCCTGACTGTCTACCAGATTCCTATTTAGTTATGTTTTAAATCTCTCAGCAATCTCAGGGTCTTTCAGCTTATCAATCTCCCACCTTTTCCTACAGTGCTGTTGATCAATTCACTATAAGACGCTGTCTAAGCTTCAATTTAAGCATATAATGATCGGAGTCACAGTTTGGTCCCCTCGCTGCACTGACATCAATAATTGACGTTGCTTGCTTTTTCTGAACCAATACATGATCAATCTGTGTAATTGCTCCATTTGGGGATTTCCATGTTCCTAAATGTATATTTCTGTGTTCAAACGTAGTGCTTCTTATGACCATATTATTGGCTTCCGCAAAACTGACAAAGAAGCTTTCCATTATTATTTGTCTCACTATGAATCTTGAATCGACCAGATACTGCACCAACAAAACTTTCTTTTTCTATTTGTGCATTCAGATCAGCCAAAACAATTTTCATATCATAACGTGGAGTTGCTAAAAAAGTCCTCTCAAGATCCTGATAGAAGTCGAGTTTTATCTCGTCCTCACTGTCCTCAGTGTAGTATCGCATACACAGATATTAAGGTGACATTCCTAAATCTTCCCCTCAGTCTCATTTTGCAGATCCTTGCATTAACAGGCTCAAATGATAGTACACTCCATCTTCCTTTTCCTGCCACAATGAATCCAGTGCCATTTCTTCCCTTCTTGATCTTCTCACAACTAAACATCATCGTATAATCCTTCTTATCAATTCTGCCCTCTCCGTTCCATCGAATTTCTTGTAAAGCCACAACGTCTATTTTATACTTTAATATCTGCTCCGCTACCTCTGCCATCTTTCCAGGCTGGAGCATCGTACAGACATTCCATGTAGCGACATTTAAATCCAAATCCGAGTTCCTTTGTCTTTTGCCTTTATTTCTATCCAGCTTGCTATTTATAGGTTTCATAACAGGTTTGTTTTTTACAAGGTAAGGTTGTTGGCCCCACGCCCAACCCCCAACCTGAAGGACCGGGTCATTTCATTTCGGGGTTTCCGTCCCCTAGTCTGGTTGCTTTCACCATAGCTTAGAGTCCAGACAACCCCTGGTTTATTTTCGGAGTCCCTTCACCTAGCCTTTGAGGTCCCCTCCCAAACCGTACAAGGCAGTACGGGGCAGTGCATATTTAGTGGCGGCACTTACTCGCCACGTCACAGCATCGTCATAGGATTATGTGGTATTTTAATGCACCTGGCCTTGCCAAAGGCCAGACGCCCACTCCTGCTGATGCTGTCCCCCCCCGTGGTCCAGGACTGCTTATTTGGTGACCCTTATTCACAGCTAACCTGCATATCTGCAGGCTGTTCCACTATCCGCCACCTGTGGACCCGCCCAATAGCCAGGGTAAGAGATAGTACATGCATTTCCTCCTATCTACGTAGGAATTTCAATAAATACATTTTTTTTTTTATTTTATTCAATTATAATTAACTTTTTTTTTTATAAATATATACAAGTGAAGTTTTTTTCTGAAATGAACTTATTCTATCTCTTTTTCATTCTTCATTTCTCAAAGTGTATGTTCAACCCTTATATATAGTTTTGTTAGCTCGGAGAAGATTAAATGAGTATGGATTAATGGCTTTTCGTCCAGTAAGAGGACCAGAGTTGACCAGAACTCACAGAGTAACACGGCTGGCTTTTGCTCAAGAACACAGCCATTGGACTATGAACGAATGGAGTGCTGTACTGTTTACAGATGAGTCAAGATTCGCTCTTCGATCTCCAGACAGGCGTGAAAGAGTGTGGAGAAGAAGAAACGAAAGATATGCAGCCTGTAATTTTTCCCAGAGCCAACCTTTCCAATATGGTTCCTTAATGCCGCACAGAATTGGTTGTTGTTCATGGAGGGTCTTTGACAGCCATTCGCTATGTAGATGAGATTTTGGAACCTCATGTGTTGCCTATCCTCAACGAAATCGGCAATCGTTCTATTCTAATGCACGATAATGCACGCTCATATGTCGCCCGCATAGTGCAGACGTTCCTTCAACAGAACAAGATTGAGGTTTTAGCCTGGCCAGCACGTTCTCCAGATTTGAACCCCATTGAGCATTTATGGGATAACCTCGGAAGACGAATAAGAGCGAGTGCAACACTTCCTGATACACTGCAGGACCTTGAAAGGGCTCTTCAGGAGGAATGGGCTATCCTCCAGCAAAGGGACATTTCCCGACTGGTGGAAAGTATGCCGAGGCATCTTCAAGAAGTAGTGAAGGCAAGAGGAGGAAACACGCGCTACTAAACGATGATGTAATTAATTTCTTTTAGAATAATAATGGTTCGTTTTTCAATTTTTTTTTCTCTAATCTTTCTTACCCAATCACATTTTGATTATTAAAGGTAAAAAAGATTATAAAATTCCATTTATACTAAGTATTATCTACAAATACCATGTATTATATACAAATACAACTTTACAGAAATATTTGTAGATGAAAACATGGAAAAATCAAGAGGGTGGAATTGGAAGACACCACACTTCTTATTCCCCAAATCATTTCTCCCTTATTATGGTTACAAATTGGCAATAAAAATAATTCTAATTATATAATAATATAAATTGTCAGTAAGGCACAATATATAACATAGATTTTTTATTGAGTTCTACCAATGGGTAGTTTCTCTTCATGTTGTACATGTCATGTTACCAATTTCACATTTACTTATTGTATTTTCTATGTAATACAGTTGTAAATTCCATTAAAATAATAAAATAAAAAAAAGATTTTTTAATGAAACTGAATTGTTTTGTTCCGTTTATTTTATGTTGATAAAAAATAAGATAATATGACAGGGAGTACCACCTAATATATTGTAATATACACCTTTATTGGAAGTTGTTAAAAATGATTTTATAAATTAATGTAACAGTTAAAAAGCAAAATTTAGTTCTACTAGTTCAGGGAAAATAAAATAGCTGCTCTGTAGTTTTCCCAAAAAGGTAAATCCCAAAGAGGGGATGGGACAAAAGATTTTGTTTTGGCAAGCAGTTGTTGTGTGGCTGCAGTAAAGAGAGGATGGGAGAAGGATTCCTGGCTCCAGTGGGTAAAACTCAGTAATAGTATGACCATCTTGGAAGTTGTGTTTGGCAGAAGATTGGAAAGTATTAGAAGACAAATTAATTTAGTGCAATAAAGGAAGAAACAGTATCTATAGAAAAAAGGTTAGCTTGCCAATCCATATTTGATTTTATTTTAAAATCAAACAGTGTTTAGTATAGTTAATGTTAGTTTGTCTAAGTATTTTGATCTGAATGTCAGTAACTTACACCTGAGATAAATATATATATATATATATATATATTATAATATATATATATATATATATATATATCAATACTCTTATAATTTTGTTTATTATTTAATAACCTCTTATTTATTTAGGAAGTATTCCAATGGTAGAAAGTGATCGTCTAAGGTTATATTATTACTAATTTAAAATATAAGAGAGATGTTACAATATATAAAATTAAAATTATTAATAATTATACCTTATTTGAAGCATTTCATTTTTCTCTTCTGTTTTTGACCTTAATTCTTCCATTTCACTTTTTTTCATACTGGCATTAGTCATAGTTTGACTTATCTGTTCTAAAACAGCCTTGCTTTTAGTTTGTTTTTCCTGAAGTAAAATTTCTTGTTCATGAGCATCATGCTTTAAATCTTCAACAACGCTCTGTGTTTCGGTAATTTTAGCTATTCCAGCCTACACATAAAAATACATTGTTAATTAATAAAAAGTACTTAAGAGATTAATTTTCAATATACAGTCAACTCTTGATAATTTGAAATCCAAAGGACTACAAGAAAAATTCTAGTTATCGAGACTTGGAATTATTAAGAAGTTTGAATTATTAAGAGGAATGAAAAAATATTCAAATCATTAAAATATTTTATTATATTTTTGGAAATATCTATGAAACCTGACCTTACATAAATTTTATATATATATATATATATATATATATATATATATATATATATATATATACATATATATACTGACTAGGAAAATTTTGAATTATAAAGAGGGAATGTGGCCTAGTTCAAATTATGAATCGTTCTCTTCCTCTCTTGTTATGAAAAAGATTTTAAGTTATCAAGCTTATCAAAATATAGCATTTTTTTGATTTACTGAAGTTAACAGCAGTTTGAATTATTGAAAAATTTGAATAAATGAGATTCAAATTATCGAGAGCCGACTGTATTATGGTATCCCATAAGTTTATTCTGTGCCACGTTATGCATGACCTCAAGCTGGCTATGAGTGTAAATATACAGGCTTATCTATTGTTCGTTTATGGCATCGATTTCAGTTATCTCACATCTCTTTCAAAGTACATTTTGTTGGTGGCAAAGTCTCTTTTAAAATCTTTTTCTAGCCATTAAATAAAAAGAAGAAATTTATAATAATAATAATAATGCTTTATTTATTCTGGGACGAGTCCTTTTAGAATAATACAGAGAAACAAAAATGTGGGCTAAGGAGCCTCAGAGATACATAAACAAGAGTATAGTTTGATTAAATAGTAAAAAAAAAATAATAATAAAATATTTAGAGAAATTATAAGTTACTTTCTAATTTACATCAGTTAATAATAAAAATAAAAAATTGAAAATAAACATGAAGTAAAAATAATAAAGAACGATCTAATAATTTATATACATATTTGCAGTAGTAACTATTTACAATTTTATGATGAGGACTGGATGGATAAGAAATTATTAAACAGTTGGGATTTAAAGGTAGGAAGGGTTTTGGATTGACGGATGTGGGGAGGGATGGAGTTCCATAGGGAAGAGGATCGAATAATAAATGATTTCTCGAAAGCAGCGGTTCGGTGAGCCATTATAAATAGATCTGAGGACCGAGAACGGGTATTGCAGGAGTGGACAGAGGATTTAAATTGAAGGAGCTCGGCGATGTATGAAGGACGGCGGGAGTGAATTACTTGGAAGAGGAAGGATGCCAGGAAATACTTACGGCAGTTGGAAGGATAAAGCCACTTCAACTCTTCGTACAAACAGGAAACAGGAGCGTCTCTTGGGATCCCGAAGATGAATCATACAAAGCAATTTATCAAACGTTTTAGTTTTGCCTCGAGATCCCCAGAGACTCCCCCATATACCGTGCAGCAATAGTCGAAATGGGGAAATATTAAAGAGGTGACCAGGAGTCTACGGATTTCAAAAGGAAAAAGGTGTCGCAGGCTATTTAAGTGTTTTAGGGTGGAAAAGGTACGTGGGGAGATATTGGACACATGGTTTTTCCAGGTAAGGGTTTGATTGAAGATTATTCCAAGGTTTTTGACGGTGGGATAAAATTTAATGGGATTATCATGTAAAAAGAGGGTTGGAAAGTTAGGAACAGTTTTGAGGAGGTAATTGGAGCCTATTAGGATTGCCTTGGTCTTTTCCGCATTCAACTTCAACTTGTTAACTCCTGCCCAGTCGTATATTCTATTTAAATCTTCTTGAAGCTTTTTTGTGGCGGCTAATAGGCCAGAAGGGGGGAAGGAAAGGTATATTTGGAAATCGTCTGCATAGATGTGGTATTGGGAGTGATGGATCTGGTTGGGAAGGTCATTAATGTAAATAGCAAACAGAGTAGGAGACAAGGAGGAACCCTGGGGGACACCACAGGAGAGGGGAAGTGTCTTTGAAGGAGGTTGATCTGGGATCGATCGGAAAGGAAGGATTTGAACCAACGTAGGACACTGTTGGATAGAGGAAGATTTTGCAATTTGGTAAGAAGGATGTTATGGTCAACTGTATCAAACGCTTTGGAAAAATCTAGAAGGATGAGGATAGTAAGGTTTTGGTGTTCAATGGAGTTTTGGAGGTCATGGGTTATTTTAAGGAGGGCAGATTGCGTTGAATACCCGGGTCGGAAGCCAGATTGGAATGGATTGATGAAGGAACGTTCTTCTAGGAAGTTGGAAAGTTGGTTTTGGACAAGGCGTTCCAGTGGTTTTGAGAGGTTGGAAAGAAGAGAAATAGGGCGGAAGTCGTTCTGTGAGGAAGGGTTAGATGTTTTACTAAATGGTCAGACGAGTGCAGTTTTCCAGGAAGAGGGAAATGTGGAATTTTGCAATGAGAAGTTGTAGATATGATAAAGTACTGGAATAAGGGTAGGAAGGCTGGATTTTATTAGTTTTACTGGAATATTGTCAGGACCATAATCATTGGTGTGGGATTTGAGTATAGTGGAAAGTACTTTGTCGTAGGACACATGGGAAAAAAAGAAGTTTTCAGGATTGAAATTACGGTGTTCAATATCATGAGTAGGAGAAGGATTAGAAGCAAAAGATAAAAAATGGAGCATGGATGTCTAATATGGATTGTAGGTTTGAGGTAAGGGTGGATATCATAGGGTCAATGGAGGTGCAGGAAAATATGGTATCCCATTGGGCAGAATCCAGGTCAGGTTGAAGGGATTCATATGAAAGGAGGTTTAGATTGCGATATGATACTATTCTGGGAGTAAATGATTTCACGGGTAGGTCGTACGAGATTTGGATCAGGTCGTGTAATGATAGAAAAGGTACAGGGTGTTGAGAGGAGGAAAGGATTTTAAGTGGTGAGTCAGAGATATGGAGGTCTAACCAGGTGTCAGAGAACTGAGTGTGATGAGTGGAAGAATAAGGGACATGATAAAGATTGAGGGAAAATATTAGGTCATTGAGGTAGTATTTGTCGGGAGATTCTGTGAGCATATTTACATTAAAATCGCCGGCGATGATGATATTGGAGTAGGAGGAAACCAGGTTGACAAGGGACGATTCAAAGAGTTGGTCAAATAGAACACGAGGAGGGCGGTAGACAACAACATACAATAGAGGAGAGGAAATAGCGGTAATTTCAACAAATAAATATTCAACGTGAGGGAGGTCATGAAAAGGAGACTGTAAGAGAATTTTGGCCTTGAGACTATTATGTATATATAGTCCGACACCACCTTCCGTGCGATCAGGTCTGTCATGACGTAGGAAAGAGTGATTGGGGAAAGAAATTTGGGAGGAAGGAATAAAAGGTTTCAGCCAGGTTTCAGATACTGCTATTGTGTGGTATAAATTATCGAGGAAATATTTTTGGAATTCATCAAAGTGGGCATTAAGGGATTGTGCATTGACGTGACAGGAATTTAGGATATTAGTCATAACTGAGATGTTGGGAAGGAGAGTTGCGGGGAAAAGGATCGAGGAAGGAGAGTAGGATATAACAGTTTTTTAACAAAATATTCATTTTTTCAACAGAAAAGAAAATATAAGCATAAAATAAACTTTGAAAAGAAAGAGTTAAAAACATATAGACTCGAATAGAAATAAATATAAAGAATTAATTTATGATGTGAAAAAATATAAAGATGGCTTTGGTTACAATAAATTATAAAGAAAAAACATTCAGTCAAATGAAATTCCAGCTCTTTAAAACGATAATGAAGAAGGTAACTTACAAAAATTAAAATTAAAATATTTATTATTATATTATATTAAAATATGAAAGACTAAAATTGATACAAATTTTGGAAGACTTACATACAAAATTCATATAAAGACGTCCAAGTCGCTAGCTTTCCCTATAACTACCGCCGGACATCCATCTGACTGTCTGCATCAAATTTTGCCACCACTGAACCACAGGTATTTTATCTTTGCCGTCATCTTTTTTTGTCTGGCTAACCAGTATAGATGTTTATTGGCGGGGGTCATTGCTTCGCTCACGTAAACCCGGTGCGAATCGTTGTCCCCCCAGCCCAGATGGCGTGTTGAGAAGTCTCTTTTCATTCTTCTCTGCTGCAGCAGTTCTTCTCTTGTTGTTTGCCTGACGAAGCGAGCAATGATAGGGCCTGGAGTCTCTTCCTGCTTCGGTTTGAGCCTCACTGCGTGATCCAGATCGTCTGGGCTTAACTTGATGCCCAGACCCGCTCCGACGCTAAGAATGGTCCCAGTCACAGTCTCACCCGGCTTTTCTGGAATTCCTCGGATTTCGACTGTATTTTTTAACTGATATTGCTCAGTATAATTTAACCGAATTTCCAGCTCCGATATTTTTTTCTTTAAGGTGTTATTTTCGATAGATAATTTTTCGACGTGTTTTGTTATAGGACAACATAATATAATAAAATAAAGGCATAACAAAATTCTAAATAGTTGTACACTGCTTAGCAAAGGGGTAATTCTACTTAATTTAATTTTTTTAAAAAATGAAATCCTACTAATTCAGTATATTGCTGTGGCTTTAAAATTATAAATATAGCAATAACTTTTATAACTGAACTATTATAGTTCACTTTTTTTTTTTTTTTTTTTTTTGTTAAACTAAACTCAAGACTGACAAACACAAATTAGCAAGTGGGCAAAAACTCTTTTAGTCAAAGTACAATCTTACACTGAGCACACAGTGAAAGAAGGAAGAGAATTTTACATTTGAATATGGTTGGGGATTTGTTGGTGAGATTATGAGAGTTTAGGATGGCAAGACAGGGAAACCCAATCTTGTTCCTTGGACAAGAAATGAAAAGCTGCTACAAACCAAAAGTGTGAAGTAGACAACAAAATGACTGACAAAACCACAAAGATAACCATTGAGGAATATCTAGTGAGGAGAAACTAAGATAAACATCTGCATAGCAGAAAGAAGATGCATTCATTGGGAGC